AAATACTGAGATGCGTCGCGGCTGTATGTCTTTGCTGACATTTGAGAATAGAGTTGTTTCTCGTTCAAAGAATGACGATTCGGGTAGTCTCTCGACATCTTAGTCAAGTGCTTCGATTCAAAGAAAGAGATCATTGGGTCGGATTTACTATTAATACTATAATAAATTACTATTATATTACTAGTTTTGTTTTGTATTGTAACTTTTACTATTTGTTATGGTTAATTTTATTATAAATTTGGATTGGTTTTGAAAGAAAAATAGTTTTAAAAAAGTCAAGATGATGTTTGAAATGAAATGTCTCTTTCATAAAAAAAAAAGTTTATTTAATAAAATCTATATGTTATTATTAATTTATATTTGATGAAAGAATAAATTATTAATTATAAATAATTAAAAATATAAGATTCAGTAATTAGAAATAATAATAATAAAAAATTATCTTAAAAAAGATTTTCAAACTTCAACAATTTTATAAAATAACATATTTTATATTTATTATAAAAAACTATTACTTATTTATTAATCAAACATCAAAAAAAGTGTCTAATTAACAAAACTAAAGTGAAAAATGACAAGTTGAGAAGTGGATTCAACACTTACAGAATGAAGACACAGTTAAGCTGTAAATCTGGATGGTAAGAAGTGTTAAAGATGAGCTTCAAACGCGGGTTCTTTCACTTCAAATCTTCTGTGGGCCTTTCGAAGAAAACAGTTGACACTGATTTTAACCTTATCAAAGAGAACATAGTTGGCATTGAAAAAAAGCTGAAGTCAGTAACCGAACGAATACAAAAGATTCCAATGGCGGCGCAGAGTCTTATTTCTTACCAAAAAGAGGCGGTCAGACTTTTGCACGACTGTACCACTGACGGCGCGCCAGCAAAATTGAGTGGAGAAAAAATCATATCGTATTATGACAAAATGGAAGACGCTGGAATTGAGATCAAAGAGCTATTGATTAGTCAAGTCGTCGAACCACTCAAGCTTTATCTCGACCAATGGGGCGTTTTGTATAAAAGAATTGCTGTACTGAAAAACAGAAAGATGGATATGGATCGACACTACGAAAAATTCGAACAAATATCGAAGAAGTCTGCTAAAAAGCAGAATGGGCTGTCAGAGGCCGAAGCCAAGTACAACACATCGAAAGAAAGCTACTTGCTCCTCAGAAATGAGCTGACCAAAGATCTTAAAAAACTTGAGAAGGCGACGGATGATGCCAGCGAAAGAGTACAGGCATCTTTACTACTTTCGTTTTCGCAGTATTTGAACACCATGAATTTGTCATGGCAACAAGTTCCCTCAGTGTTGTCTAAGATGAACTCGTCACAAATAGACACCCAACCAGTTTTCACGCCCAACGACTTGTCCTTTGTGAATGAATGCAACGTGCAAAGTCACTTGAGGTCTGGGAGATCTGTTTTGGATGTCGACGGTACCACTGACACTGCTGAAGTGAAGGTTGCTCCTCCACTTCCAAACGGTGTGAATACATTTTCATCAAATTTAAACAATGGAGAAAACACAATTAAGGAACTCTCGCAAAACGTTGTTGTGTGTCAATTTGAGTATGAAGCAGAGAACGAGACTGAATTATCCATGAAAGAAGGGGATGTGATCAATATCATCAACAAAAAAGGTGATGGTTGGTGGCAGGGAGAGTGCAATGGAAAGGTTGGATTCTTCCCATCAAATTATGTTAAATGAATTTGTTATTAAACAAATTTGTTAAACAACAATGTTGGTGTTTAAAACAAAAGTTAAACAAAAACACTTAATAACAACACATGTAAAGTAAATATTATGACTGTGAAAATCGTGCGCTTATAGAGCGTTTGTCATGAAAGTCACAATTTCTAAAAACACCAAAACCTTCTTTGCACAAGCTCAAAGGATGAAGATGTTGTCAGGATTGATTTTTCAGTCAACGGGTTTCTTTAAATACCCTCTGAAAACCTATCAACTATTATATCTTAGTAATTAATTTATAATTTAAATTATAAAACTATTAACATTAGTAAAATTGTAATAATTCGGGTTCAAATAATACAAAACTAATAAAGAGTTATTAAATTATTATAAACTAATGGTTCGAAACAAGATTATTGAATTTAACTATCCCGAAAAATTGCTGAAAAAATACATAATATAAAACATATTTATCACCATTATTCTCAATGTAATAAAAAAAACTACAATTATTTTTATTATATTTGTTATAGAACACAACTTAACTTTCTTATTTTGAAGGAAACTAAATTCCACTTTAATTAAACTAAAAATCAAATTTACCATTTTTTCGTTCCACCACTTGACAAAAAAGTGAACAGAAAACCAAAACTTAAATTCTGCCTAAAAAAAAGATTTTTTATTTTTAAAAATATCTCAAAATTAACCATCGTTTTATTACACAAAAAACAAATATACAAATAAAAATGGCAAATTTATTATAATCAATTAATTTTTTGAAATTACAAAACGATACATTATTTTCCAAAAATAGTGACAGACAGTTTTTTTGCTCCCATTGCTGTGGTGGATTGTTTTATAACTTACTTTTAATAATAAAAATAACCATAAAAATAATAAAACAGGATAGAATGGATCATTTGAGTATCTCCTGTTCAGACGCAGACACACCATGTCTGGCCGACTCAAAAGTATAGCAAGTTTCACAGAGTCCATTTAATGCAAAACGACGCATTGACCTCGACCGTCAACACGATATTTACGTCGTTCTTTCACTCGAAGAAGTTAGGGAAGTATGTATGTACGCATGAAGGGTGTGGGAAGACATTTAACTCAAAGAAGTGTTTGAATGTTCATATGCAGACCCACAATGGTGAGAAGCCATATACATGTCCGTCTTGTGGGATGAAGTTCTTAAGAAAACATGATTGTAATGTTCATCTTCGGATTCATACCGGTGAAAAGCCATTCCAATGCGAAACGTGTCACAAACGGTTTGCTAGACACTCTGATCTTAAAGTCCATGAAAAGGTCCACTCAGACGTCAAACCGTTTCTGTGTCCTTTTAACTGTGGAAAATGTTTTAAAAGAAAACACGACTTAAAAAAACACATCACTTTCCATGTTAAACACTCAATGAAGGAATTGTCCGAAATCGTCGAAAAATCAGAGGAAAACGCTCACTCAACAATTCAGAGCGCTTTCGTCCCTGTCAACAAAAAGTATTTCACTGTTTTTTAATTTAAGTTGTACTAATATTTTACTAGAGTTTGTACATCCATTTCTTAGTTGTATTCATGACATAAAAATATGTTTTTTTGTCATGTATTTGTCAAAACAAAAGTTAATTTATGACGTTCATTTTTTAATTAATGTGTATCATTTAATAAATTAATATTTACTTATTTATATTTTTTTATTCAAACTTGGTTTTTAATATAATAAAAAATAATATTATTAATTTCTCAAAATAGTTGGGTACATTTCTTTTTATAAGACAAATTAATTAAAAAGAGCAACATATTTTTACTATAAATATATAATATTCAAATTATTTATTTAGTTATATATTATTTATTATAAATATAATATTATTAATTACAACTAAAACTAATACATAAACAACTCTATAATTGAGTAAAAGTACCTTAGGCGTCAGGCTCAAGGCACGATGATATAATGTACTTGATAAGCCTTTCTGTTGCTCTTGACGTCCTGTCCACGAAAGCCTGTTCAGTGACGAGGCAAGTTCTTTCCCCATTAAGAACTACACATTAAACAAGTTAATAGAAACTATATATTATAATACATTAAATAGATCCTAATAGTACATGAAACAAACTTTTCCTTAAGAGCATATTTTTGAATTCAAAGCCATGTGTGTACCATTTGTCCTCAAGAAACGGGGGAAAAGGCTTCACTGTGCCTTTACACACGACGTTGACTTTGTATTTATCATTCGTTTCGTCCGACGTCAATGGGGTGACAACGATAAAGACGTGATTGAATTGTGATGCAACACTTTGTGGCCAGAAAGTATCGTTTTTGTCATTCATCTCTTTGAAAACAACGACAACGACATCATTCCCAACAAAACGCTTTCTTTCGAGCATTTGATCACTTTGTGTGTTGGGGAGGAGTGGCGCCACGTGGAAGAGTATTTCATAGGGATAGTTGTCAAGCGTCCCAAAATACAAGAATTCGCCCGTTTTCTTGTTTTTGACATCCAACCCGCCATTATACCGAATAAATCCGTTTTGTTCATATCTCTTCCCTAACAAATCCATGAATTTCCAAAACGCTGGTGAACACTCATCATTATTATTACGATACATCTCATCTTCACTTTGCTGTCCTTGTCGCCCATACAAAACCCCGATTTTGTACGTCTTCATGACCTATTTCATTATTATTATATTTAATAGAAAATGTATAGTAAAATAAACTATACGCAACAAACAACTTGGTTCTCGAGTTTCCTCATCTCCTCCCGCAGCTTTTCGGAATTTTTGGTCTTGACGGGCTTCTCACCTAGAGCCAAAGAGTGTTGGCACCACTTTGGGACAGACTCGTTGTTTGGCAGAACAAAACGGGTCATTCCCTCCGACTGGAACATCATCACAAACTGATACCTCAAAGTCTTTTGATACACAAGAATGATCCCACTTTTCGGGAAGAGTACGTAACTAGCCTTTGGGGAGTCGTAGAAGAATTGTTTGAAAAAGGTGAAGTCGTCGTCGCAGTTAACGACCTCGTAATAGTTTAAGTCTGTTGTGTGAGTACATGAGTCATAATTTGTTTCTATGTGATAAACGTCTTGTTTTTGATTTTCAGTCCTAATAGCCTTTTCGATGTTTTCTTTTGAATCAATTTTTAACGCTTCAATGTTCTCATTTGTGCCTGTTAGCTCGGGGTGAAGGTCTTCTCCCTCGTGGAGTATTCTCACGTTGAAGGGAATGGTCGTGTCAGTCCAACTTTCTTCGGGGAGTTTCAGACTTGACCAACAGTCATAAGTCTTTCCAATGGATTCTTTCAATGAATCCATAATGACATAATACTTCGACTCTTTCGTTATAAATCTTTTGTTGGGCCGAGTAATGTTTGGGACTAATGTGACAACTACCGTCTCACTAGGGTTTTGGAACATCAATTTGAGTTGCTCCATGGCCGAACGAGTCTTATCAACGTTTGTTTCCCCAACACCTATAATGTCTTTTAATGCATATAACATTGTTAAATCTATAGAGTCACTTTTGGACCGTGGACTTGCTTCTTCAAACGCACAAAAAGATTTTCTGAGTTGCATGCCATTCTTCATAGAGAGAGAACGTGGGGTTTTGACAAATGACGGTTTTGGAGAACCTTCAACACGAGGGGTTTTTGACATTCCTTTGGTGTCATATTTTATATCTTTTAAGTGTTCCAATGAAGATTCTTTGGATCCCAATTTTCGAACTCGTGGAGATTTCGATGTTTTTGGTTTTGGCGATTTTAATGGTTCAGCCTTTTCCAGTTCTTCATGTTCTGGTGGAGTTTCTGGGGGATTTGAATGGTCTAACTGCTTTATTTTTTCTGGGGAATCTGGCGTTGAAACAGTGTGGACATCGCTCAAGTTGCTCGTGGGTACAGACGTAAGCTCGTCTGATCTCTTCTTGAAAAAAGAAAAGAAACTCAGTCGATTTTTTGTTTGTTTACCTTGAGACTTGGACATCCAAATTAAAAATTGATTTTTTTGTAGTTTTTCCATATCGTTTTTTGTTTTAAGAAAACATAAACTGATTCAAGATACCACATCATTGTATTAGAAATATAATAAATAGAATCATTTAAATAATACAATAAAATCTTCGTTTTGAATATTTTTGTCATAATATTTTTGAATAAATAACAGCCTAGTTTATACCAAACATAATTAAAAATTAAGTAAATTCATACAAAAAAGTACTATTTTTTTATTTTTTTGGTTCACCAAAAAGATGTTTTAAAAAAAGTTGATCTTAATAATGTGGTGTACAGTTTTGCACAAAAAACAACTTAACCCAAGCAACTAAGGAAAGCTAAAATTAATGATCACTTTTCTTTTCATAGGCATATTGAGTATTTTTTTATTATTATCAAATGCATATATTTATTTTAATCAATTTTGAATTTATATTTTTAAAATGGGTTATTTTTAGTTTATTATTATATTTAAAAAACAAAAAACAAATAATAACAAGTATTATCAATTTTTCAAAAAATGGTTTATAAAATAATCAAAAATAATTATTTTTCACGGCGGATTTTGCCAAGTTCACCAGCTTTTGTGATGGTATTACCTCTACACAAATCACATACATTTTCAAAGTGGTATTTACAGACATGTAAACCACATACACAACATCGATACTTGAAACAACACTTTGATACTCTATTTTCACCTGATTTGGCACAAATATGGCAACTTCCACTTCCTTTAGGGACAAGAGAACTTGTCTCTAATAATGTATTCGTTTCTTCAAAATTTACACCCAAAAAACGAGCTATTTTTATTTTTGTTTTGTATGGAAGATTTTGTGACAGTCTTGATGTTGCATTCTGTTTCGAAACTGAAGTGATAGTTGCTCATAAAAATTAATTTTTGGGTTTTTGGCAATTTTTGATTCAAAATATACACAAAATTTTTCTTATGATGTCATTTTTTGTTGTTTTGATGTGGATGATTTTGATATTTCACTTGATTCCAAATTACATTGATTTAAAATCGTGGAACTTCCTGTCTCATTTACAACTACGGTATCTCCTTTTTCTTCGAAATCATCAACAAAGTCTAATGGCTTATAATCAACTTTGGACCAAATATATAATAAATAGGCGTTGTGAATGGTGATGTCTAGAATATGATAAAAAAGAGCTAATGGCCAGCGTCGAGATGCTCTCTTAGTTGAATGTGCTTTCATCAGTCGATCAGTGACATCAACGCCTCCCATAAATTTATTGTATATTATGTTGACGTTGAAATGTTTGGGTTCGTTGTGGTAAATAATATTTAATTTGCGGGAGGTAAGAATTAACACACTGGGATTCTCGTCTTTGAAATTTACCATAACAATTTCGGCATTTGGAACAGTCTTTAATAGTTTAAATTGTCTGTAATCGTCAGTCGACTTCTTGTTTATTACAAGAGTACTTGGTACAAATTTCCGTTTAGAATTGACAGTACCAGTCAAAGTAACAAAATGTTCTATTACAATTTCAGCTGTTGATACAAAAGTAAAGAACCTATCAGTGGTCAAATTAACCAAATTATCTTTATTACCCAATTGTTCTTTGCTAAGCTCTTTCATCAATTGAACGACAACTTTAGACCCAAGATTATTAACATGCTTGCCATTAAAAGCCCCTCTGTAGACTTGCAAATTCATTATATAACCACATACAGAATCAACCAACAAGAAGAATTTGATTCCATATTTTGAAGGTTTATTCTTCATATAAGTAACATTCACTTACCGACCAAAAAAACGATACAAATCTTCATCAATGCTCAACTCAGAAGAGTTTCTAAATATAGTTTTTTGAACTTCAATTAAATTTGAATGAAATAAAGAAAGAAGTTGATTGATAAAATTGAAATTGTCCCAGTTGAGTTCGTCATCTGGGTAAAGTGAGTTTCTATGGTCTTCTAAATTAAGACCATTTTGATATTGATTATCGTTTATTTGTTTTGGGTTGTTCAAACTCTGAGAAGTGTATTTAGTGATAGGAATTGTATTATTTAAATTGTGAACATCTATTATATTGGCTTGGCTTGGTTTTTGTGTTTGATGGAAGCCATTTGTGTTGTCTTGTTGGGTCATTTTATTTATACTCATAATTCTTGATACCAAATTGTTACTGTTGCATAGTGGTACGAAGTGAAATCCATCAATCGAACTAATATCACTTGAA